CACACACACACACACACACACACACACACACACACACACACACACACGTAAACACACAGAGTGATCAAGTGATCACACATACTGTAAACTAGGCAATATTACGTTATATAATTTTACCGTTTTCATAATTTTTAATTTTTATTTTGATATTGTATAACTTCCCTGCAAGCACTACCTTTTATTTTAATGATATTAAGTGACGGAACGAACAAGTCGTGCGCCGGATGGTAAGCTACACGCTTGTCCATAACAGTTGCAATGTCTTCAGAGCTTTAAATCGCAAAGATCTTAGTGGCACTGCCACTGCGCCCGTTACCCTGAGACATAAGTTGACAAGAACGATGTACCTGTAATTTCACTAGAACCCTTACCATTCAAAACCGGAACACAGTAATGCTGACATTACTGCTTGGCAGCAGAAATAGGTAAGGTGGCAGTACTTCCTTGGTACTTACGCCACATTTGAGCACATTTCAATTTATATTAGGGGAGAAATTGTGAGTAGCATGATAGGATATTCACCATTTGCCCTTCTGTTATTCCTCGCTTTGCTAGGATGTCAGCCTCATCATTCCCCTTTAGTCTAATACTCATTGGGTATGATTTATGGATATGCAATGTTGAACGCGTCTCAGTTTGCATTTCTCAGAAACGTTCATAGGATGGCTCGTGCGCCCATAATTCGTACTCTCGGTATAATAAAGCTGCATGAGATCATAAGTAAAAGTGTTTTATCACATGAAATTCATAAAAGTAATACGTACTACATGAAACAAATTATATAGGGTTATATGTAAAATACTTACTAATCAATATCAATTTACAAATAAAAAATGTAGAAAAAGATGTAATATTTTACAAAAAGTTAAAAGAGTTCCTTTTAGAAAAATGCTGTTATGACATCAGAGAATTTTTAGAAATTAAGTAGAATGTAAGAGATTTAGTTTTTCAATTTCAAATTTAATTTCCAATGACTAATTTTATATCCAATGACTAATTTTTATATCCAATGACTAACTTTATATCCAATGACTAATTTTATACCCAATGACTAATTCTAAACTTTAAATTAATTTTCAATATGTTTTCAATTAATATTCAATAGGACGTTGTGTATTTCATTTATAAAAGTTTAACTTTATTGGATATATTAAGTTTTAATTTTATGCTTTTGCAATGCCCTTTCAGGGCTAATGTTGAGAACTGACACTAGCTTGTAAGAACTTATGTGCTACAACATTGATGCAATAAAGATTATGATTATGATTATGATTATGATCACCTCTCAGGACTACGTTACTAACATCATAAACAACATGTTTTTATTCCATGATTTTTAATAATTCGTCAGACTCTACTTTCGTACTAAAATGAAAAATTTTAAATAGATCGCTCCAAATGGTAATAACTCGGTAGCAAAAGAAAGCACGCATCATCAAAATGATTTTTTACAATTTACTACCACTTACAGATCTAACAAGAGTGGTATAATAAAAACTTTAAAGTTTATTTTTCGTAAATTTATTGTGTTTTATAAAAAAGTCTTGAAATTAGAGGAGGGCGTTTAAACGAAAAGAACTTTAAAAAGTTTGCTTTTTAGAATAAGCACATAAGCACCTTTTCATTTTAAACGTAAGCGTAAGTCAGTTCAATACTCAAATTTTTTTTTTTACAACATGGTTATCTTTCAAGTCCCGCCATCTATGTTTTCTAAACAAATTAATTCGTCAAAGTGAGTAATAATTTTATAAATAAAGATAAAACTCGTGTGTTACAAATAAACTTACTTATAATAATAACGCACACACTCAACATAGCCAACTAGGGAAACCCTGTGTCGCGGGTGTCATGGACACATATATAGACAACCACAAATTAGCGGGCACGGGGGCAGTTAGTTATCTTAAAACCTTAAGTGGTCTACTCCGCTTTTCTCTACCAACACATCGTTGCAAGCTTTTTTAACATAAAAGACTTTTGGAAGCTTCAAACTAAAAAGCGTTTAAAAAGCACAACACCTCCGTGGCCGAACAGTTACCAAGCTGGACTGTCACGCAAAGGTCCCGGGTTCGATTCCCGAGTCCTGACTAATATTTGTATGGCGTACATTTATTTCTCCCGTGAGTTTGGGAGTAGTTAGTGGTTGTTTACCTATGTGTGTGTTCATGGCACCCGCGATACAGGTAATACGTGTGTGCGTTATTTATTATTATTTATTAAATGTTGTTGTTCATGATGTTATTAATGTACTCCTGTGAGGTTGTTAGTATTTTACAAAGAGCCCTATTATGTATGTGAAAGTTACTAATTTCATTTGTAGAATAATTAAACCTCTCCACTGAAAAGTTGGTAATTTTGCAGATGTGATGTAAAACAATAAGGTATCAATAACCAATATCGTATAAAAACAGTTTTATTCGGAGTAGAGCTCATTGTGAAAGAGTTCATCCAGGGCCACTGCCACCTTATCTATTTCTGCTGCCAAGCAGTAATGTGAGCGTCACTACATTCCGGTTATGAAGGGTAAGAGTGCTGGCGAAATTACAGGCACATGGGGTTTGTCGACTTATATTTCAGGGTGACGGGCGCAGTGGTAGTGTCTCTCAGATCTTTGCGATTTAAAGCTCTATGTCACTGCAACTGCTATGGACAGGCGATCAGGCTCACGACTTGTTCGTCCCGTCACTAGGAATGCGCATTAAGTTTGACTCTTAATTTTTGTTCGAAAATCGCCTTTAGTGCAACGGTTCTAGATGCGATACTGAGCTTGATGTACTGAAATAAAATTGATAGTATTGTTAACACATGAAGCTATTGCCCTGACAAGGCTATAATTAAATACATTTGAACAGGTCTGTGGTACAGTCTATAGTCCATTATCGCTTGATTTGGGTCGTAATTATATGTCTACGTCTCTGACAGACAGAATTTTGGTGAGTGAGGAAACTTTGTTCTGCTGTAGTTGTTTATTTCTTTTAAATAAAGAAACAAGTCTCTTCTTGTAATATTATTCAGGATGTAACAAAATACTTAAATGAATACGTCCAACTGTTTTGTGTTCGTCTTGGAAAGAAAATGGGCTCATCTAACATTTTTGTCAATTTTTTTATTTACTAAAACTTAAAGACTATCATTACGGGATCTTAATTAATGCTATAGTAAGCTACATATTAAATATCTGCCTATAACTAAATATTAATCTATATACTTTATAAGATATTACAAATAAAGTTAAACCTGTGAGTTCACTCAACGACGAAAGTTATGTCGACGTTATTGGGAGCCTTGGTCAGTAGTAGGGCTAGCACAACAGAGCGCGACTTGCGCTAGAGCGACGTAGAAGTCGTAGAACATCATATAAGTACATACACTCACGAACATTTACACGCACACACAAGCAAGATAGCGCGCGGGATCACTTATAAATGGAATTTCTTCTCTTCTTGTACAACTTTCGCTTTTGTTCATGCACCTTGTAATGTCATTGTTTTTCTTTATTAAATAAATTATTATTATTATGTAATCGAGTATAGCAATATTATATCGCGCTTTATGTCGCTCTCAGGCAAGTCGCGTCCTGTCATGGTTATCCCGCGCGGCACGGTCAGCAGTTGCGGCCGGTTGTTGGCCAGGTGGTGGTAAGTATCTGTCCGGGACACACATGCCTATTTGCCTCAAAAGATGTGGATTGGAAATCTTTCTCTAAGAAGTGTTCAAAAATATAAGACACTAGTGCAAGTTTCCGCCTGACTTTAAGTGTATTTTATAGCCAACCATTCCTAAAACAAATAGGCTTGATAATTGAGTTATATAATGCCCCGTACATTCAGGAAACATCAGGAAAAAAGAGGCTGTCTACCTAGCTTTTAAAAAATGGCTAATTTAAATAGAACGAAAATATCTGTATAAATATGTACTATGTATATTTAACATAAACAAACTACTATTCAAATACGTTTTAATTGTTCTATTTTATGCCTATCTACTGACGCGGGAGTTAGGGAGACTACGGGGTCACCGATAACCTCAA